CAGCACCACTGTGCTGCCTGGAGTCCATTAACAAGTTAATTCAACCGTGCTTGAATGAGATGACTGATAAAGGGTGTGGCATGGTAAACTGAAGCATTTTGAGCAGACTGACATGTATCAGATACAACCTTTCAAGTACTTACAGCACATTATCTATTAGACATAGAAACTCTGGTGTGTTATATGAGGAATCAGTGCTGTAAAGCTCAGCTTATCATGGATACAGTGATGTAATAATAAATTGGCACCGGGAAAGCTATGATCCAGTAAGACTAATTTGGGTTTTAATGCATTGTAAACTTACAATAAGAGCCATGGCTTCTGCAGGTCATTGTACTCAGTGCATTAAACTCCTTTGGCCAAGTCTGAATTATCAAGTAGCCTATGCAAAATTATCTCTATAAGCTGGCGTCTCAGGTAGGCGCTTGATGAATTTTTCATATGTTAAACAATAGTCTGGGCTTTCTTTCATTCATCATTACTCATTCATTAAAGAATCGGCAAGCTTCAAGTGTCCTAGATCCCCATCAAGCACTTTGCATGTCCCCGGAGGATCACTCTGTGCAGAGTTTGGATATTTTAATCTTTTATCTAAAAAATGTTTTAATAGATCCGAGTAAGTAAATAAGTCAGTGATATATAAAGTGCTGTAAATGTCCATTGCGCACAATAAAATTTAGAGGATTCGGGGAAGACATGTACTCACGGGTGCCATCAAAACGAGTGGCGATAGTATCCAAAAAGGTGTTCTGTGGCGCGATCAGACCCCGCATCACGGGCATCCGGGAGCGGGTCGAGCCTCGTCTTTCCCGGCGCTCTGAGCCATGGCTTTCGCTCGCGGTTGATACGAAGCCCGGCAGAAACCTCGAGGATGCCCCCGGCGCTCCTCCTAACCCCTGGAGGAGGGCGCCGAGCCGAGAAACCCGGGACTCCACGGTCCAAAGCTGACCACCGACCACCGAGCAGGTGATCCGGGCTTATAGGAGGAGAGAGGAGCCGCTGGAGGCTACAGGGGTGAGGACGGAGGGATGAAGGGGGGATGGAAGGACCACGGCGCGGATGGTCACATTTACGCACGGATGTACTGCATAGCCATCCCTCTTTCCTCCTCCCCTTCCCGCTCGCTCTTTCTCTCTGCCTCTCTAACACAAACACTTTATTCCTTTCCAAACACTCTCCTCTCAGGCTAAATGACCATTTCCAGTCACCGTTTTCTTTTTTTCACCCAATTTCTTCCCCTCTACCATCGCACCGCTCCCTTTTCCACCTGTCTTTGAAATTCTATCAATCTCTCTTCACCTTCCCTGCTTTGATGTTCTGATAGAGTGTCTATTTAAAGCTGGTAAATTAAAGTGTCATATTGTCCTTACTGTTTACACTGCGTGATTAACTATTACCAGCATTGTCTGCCACGTTTCACACTTGAAGCTGCAACATTTGTCACTCAAAGAACAAATGAATAATTTAGTCAGGATGGACATGAAAACTGTTAAAAACTCTCATCAGTATTATTATTTATATTAGAATCCACAATCCACTCAAATATACAAAATCCACGTGCTTATGTGTGCAGTTAGATCAGTGGGAACACATTATACTTCTCCTTATTTTCTGACATTTGCATACTTTTACAATAATAGATGCTAATGTTAAAAATGGCACGAGGTCTATTATGTTTGGTTTGCTAGTTGTTTGTTTATTTGGTTGGTTGTTGACATGGAAGGGAGGAGATATACCTAATATGGTCATTTCATGCAGCAGCTTTAGCTGTGAGCACAAAGTCCCACCCATCTACTGTTCACATCTTTGGTTTGCAAGGGGCAGCCAATCAGAAAACAGCTGGCTTAAGCGACTGAAAAGGAAGTCAAAATAGTTTGTTTTCAGACAGAGGATGAACTGAACTGTGAATGATACAAGCTTAATCTGGTACCGTCCAGGATATGGAGCTGAAAGTGAGCGTGATAATAATACTGTTTTTATGCATTTTTCTAATATAAACATATCAAATAATATGCAGTGTGATACAGATGTGGTTTGCCAAATGAGATGATGACATTATGTGGCATTTGCATTTTCTCTCTGTGCAGGCTTCCTGTCACTGGGCTAGTTTTCTCCATCAGTCAAAAGACTAGAGACTGCCACTTACACCCTGGTTCTGTGGGTCTTAATGGATCCCCGTCTATATGTCAGCGCTGTGAGTGGCAGCACATCCAGAGTGCAGCCCTCTTTTCGTTCGACATTAGCTGGGATGGTGCAGATAGTGCCAGGATGTGGATGGAGGCCCACCCTCTGCATTTGCTGATGTGACAGGTTTTCCTTATGTTGAAGTGCTTGGGATTGGAAATGTGGTTGAAAACCAAAACCAACACTAAACACTGCCAACCCAAGTTAGCCTTAATGGCCTTTAAAAAAAATCACATGTCTGAAAGTTGTTAGAGTTTAAAGTTTTAAAAGAGGCTCTACCCAACCATCTCTTAAATGTGGTTAAAGCTGATGTCCCACTGCAACACTGCAAAACTAGAGAAAAGGGATGATGTCACTGAAGTTCTGCATCTTTTATTTATTGCTGCCACACAGTTAGGACACACTTTTGGTCAGTCAGTAGAAAGTGGTTTGGCCCGAAGAACAGATTAAAGATGTTAAACACTGTCCAAGAGTGGGACTTCTAAGCTCAGAAATCCCATTTTCTGCAGTTGGGCTTTTCTTAGTGGCCTAAGGTGTGAAACAGTTATGATGCAGCACAGACGATGGTGTATAATTTCTTACACCACATCTATTCGGTACATACAAATGGTTTAATTTTAAACATTCTATAAGCCTGCCCTGTAGGACCGTGATGGTACTCGTGTTCCTCTTTAAGTAATGTTTTCTTATGATATAACTGAAATTAAATTAAATGTAAGACACTTTACATACGCATCTTTGCTATTCTGGTTTTAAGCAACATGCACCATCCCACAGACTGAAGACAGCATGGTCCTGACCCCAAGCTGAAAACCTGCAGCATTTTCTTTTTAAATATTTGTTTTGCATATTAAAATTCTACCTTCAAGGCCTTCGTCCTGCACATCCTGCCCTTCAGGTGCATTCTCATCAGACTGCAGCTGGCTTGCAGCTAGAGTCTTCCTGGCTTCTCTTTTAAGGAGATCTCACAGAGAAAGACTCAAATATCCTGAAATGTCAGGGACAAGCAAAGCTCCAACGTTTTCACACTTATTGCACTTTGTCTGCATCGGGACCCCCAAAGGTCTTAACGCTCCTGGAACTGCAAAGTAAGTATGCCTCTACTCTAATACCTTAGACAAATTCACTGCAAATGCTTTGCACAGCACACATGATAACATACAAACATACCTATGTATATAAGGTGATGCAGTGTTCTAGACCTCAGTATTTCTTAGCAAGAGATTTCAATTCAGTTGGGTCGACATTGAATCCCAAGCACATGTTACACAGCGCAGCGGCTTTTAACGAGGTAGATTCAATACAGGAAGCCCTGGCGAGTGTGGTCTGCAGATAAAACAAGGCTAAATTAAATCATCTACACCTGCGACTGTCTGGAATTGCTGCAAAGACTAAAATAGGCTTAGAAGTTACTGTTAGACAAGATAACGGCATCTCGAGAGAAGAGGCGAGCTCCTCTCTGAAATGCTGCAGCAGAGACCTGTCAATCAAAGAGGAGGGGGTGCAGAGAAGAGGGCTGAGGGGAGGGTGGGGATGCAGTGGTGGGGAAAATTGACTGGGAGCTGGTCCGAACCAAAATGGACTCCTTCACTCTGGTTATGATAGTGGGAGTATAAAGCCCGAGCACACTGTAGCATTACAGCCCCATTCACAAACACTGAAAACCTGACCATCAGTGGTGTAAGTGAGGCAAGAGTGCCATCTACAGGAAAATCTGAACTATTCTCTAGGGCAAAAGTCAGCTCTTCACTTGCAATGGTGTGTTTCTTATCACAGTCAAAGGGATTTTCATTAAAAGAAAAGAAGAAGAAAAAAAGGACAGTGCACCACACAGAGATCAGTTGTCTGGATGACTTAAGGGTGATGATCAGGACTAAATTCGTAGCAATGATTTGCTTGTTTCCAGATTCGGAGGAAGCTCCTGTGAAGTCTGAAAATATGAAAGCGTGTAGAGTATCAAATCAGAAGCAGCAACAAAATCTGTGCAACGGAACAGCTGTTCAGTGGTTTACCAGCTGGTTAACAGCATGTGAGCGAGTCTGATTCTGTGCAGAAAAGGTGGGTTAAGAATGTTCTCAAGTGTAACGGCCCACAAGAAACTCACTGTGAGCTCTCTGAGGTCCCAGCTTGTAAGAGAAATCTGAATGTACAGTGCGAGTCTGCACTGCGGTATGTTATCTGTTTGGCAGCAGTGCTTGGTTTAGTGAGATCTGCTCCAGTCTAAACAGCACCTCTCGTGTAATAAATTATACATGGCTATGTTACTGCTGGATTTTGTTTTGGTGGTTTTGTCAAACTGTGCATTCACAAAACACAGCAAAGACCACGTCCAGTGCAAAGATCGCACCTGTTTTCCAGCTTTGCATCATCGAGGCAGTGTGAGCCTCCTGCCCTGGTCTTGATTCGCTTATGACCGACTTATTTTGTCTTGTACTCAATCGCAGCCAAAGTTTAGTTAGATATCCACGAGATGATGAGGTCTGATACGCCATCTAATAATGATACTATCCCCAACATCCCTTAAGTAATATCACTGATTTGAAATTCACAGCTATGGCTTAAGTCAGATACAACTTCATAAAGTCAGCCTTGGTGAAGTGGACAGTTTTGAGGTTTGGATAATATTATGAAAACTGACCCTCCAGACGCCCTCGAGTCAAGATAATAAACCGAGAAATTATAAAGGGGCAGTTTTTTCCAACCCACCCACTGAGATCTGAACAGTATCCAGGATAATGAGGATATGTTAGGTGGAAAGACTGAATGGTGATGCCTCTATGACAGGGGTGGGCAATTCCAGGCCTCGAGGGCCGGTGTCCTGCAGGTTTTAGATCTCACCTTGGGTCAACACACCTGAATCACATGATTAGTTCCTTACCAGGCCTCTGGAGAACTTCAGGACATGTTGAGGAGCTAATTTAGCCATTTAAATCAGCTGTGTTGGTTCAAAGACACATCTAAAACCTGCAGGGACACCGGCCCTCGAGGCCTGGAGTTGCCCAACCCTGCTCTATGAGATATTAACCTTTTGATCAATACAAGTGAACAAAGACAAAATGAAGGTCTACTGGTAAACATCCCAGCATCTGATAGATGGATGGATATGGATAGATAGAGCGTGCAAATCAGAAGTAGAGTGGTTTGTGCTTCCTCTCCCTGCACGGTGGGAAGTCATTATACATTTTAGCTGTAGTGGGTTGGAAAGAATTTCTTTATCAGAGCAAGTTTACAGCAGAAGTGAAGGAGCCTCCTACTGAAAAGACTGCAGCTATTTGACTAGTAGGTCATGCAGGGGATTTGATGTGTTGTCTATTACGCTGTAGCATCCTTCCATGAGTAAGTAAGCCTAATGGCTCCGGGGCAGTCACCAGAGCAGAGCCAGACTTCCTGATCAGCATGCAGAGCATCCTAGTGCCACTGGATGTGATGCTGCTACTTCAACACATGGCTGCAAAGAAAAATGCACCAGCGACAACACGCTTGATAAAAAATGTGCAACAATTTGCTCACACGTACTCTTTCCTCCATAAAGATGACATCTGATGACTTCCCCTCGTCCCTTAATGATGAGTTTTGACACAGCAGTATTTATCAATACAGACATGGTTTTTCCAAGCGTAGCTGCACAATCAGAGACAACTCTGTCTTCTTATTCACACTCAGACATTTTATTCTATGAGCAGGGTTAGTCCTAGTAGGCACAGTGCTGTATATGATTTTAAGATCTTTTTTTCTATAGATTTTTGCAATAATATATTATCATGATTGTCTGATG